AAGCTCAGCTAGGCAGAAGGCTGTGTTTAGATAGTAAAACAGCGTTGGGCACTTCTTGCTTGCACAGATCACACAAATCGAGAGTCAACTTATAACACCCATGCAGAGCTCTAGTCCTGAGCTTGGAACAAGGCCTCATATAGCTGCATATGTGCCTCAAGAATTGGGAGAGAAGTGGCCAAGACTTGTCACCTCGAGTAGCAGCTTCTCAGATTTGGTCTCAAGTACAGCATCTGGCACCTGAGAGCAGGAGAAATGCAATGCAACCACTGGAAAAGTTCATGCATTTTGTCATGTAAAGCCACCTTAGTGGCGGCAACACCTGACAACAGTTTGAGCCAAGTGACTTGTGCCTTTATTTTCCATTTTGGATAAAACTAATCTAGCCAGCCTCTTTTCTCAGTTCTGTGGTTCCTGCTGTCAGAGTCCTGGGCACTGCATTCTTACAGTGGAGTAGAGCTGCCAGATATCATTCATGGTGAAAGATGAGGCCAAGGGTTCAAATTAGTCTTCCTCTGAAACAGTTGGGCCTGTGGATCCTCTACAGAGTGGCTACATGAGTCCCTCCAACATTGCTCTTTATGAACTTGCAGTGGAAAATAGGCACTGCGCTTCATGAGTACAAGGGCTTGCTTCTAGACTGTCATCTACATCCTGCAATAGCTGCTCTTAGAGACAACAATGTGATAAGTGCAGGAAAATTACAGAAGTTATTGCCCTTTTTGATCTGAAGGACTGACCCCAATTCAGGGTCCCAGAGGCATCGCTGGAGAGACTGGAGACAGAGAGTCAGGTGTCTTCAGCACAACGCTGCTTATTTAGGAAAATACACAAAATCCCGACTCCTTCCCTTTTTAGGAAATGAAACAGAGACCATTTCCTTGTTCACAGCTCTAACCCTGAGTCTGCACTGCACCCCAAAGCTCGCTGGCCAGGATCTGCCCTCTGGGTCAAAAGGACCCAGAAAGAGAGAAGTTTTTCATCAGTCCCATGGGACGCCCCTGCCCATTACAGAACAGGGAGACTCCTTGCCCGCCATCAATGCTGATCTTGTGAAGGAACACCTTGAGTGGCTGGATACCTTCAAGTCAGCTGGCTTTGACAGTTTACACCCCAGGGTGCTCAAGGAGCTGGCTAGCATCATATTCCAGCCCCTGGCACGGATCTTTGAGAACTCCTGGTGCTCTAGTGAAGTGCCTGAAGGTTGGAAGAAGGCAAATGTGGTGCCTATCTTCAAGAAAGGGAGGGATCTGGCAAACTACAGGCCCATCAGCCTGACCTCTATCCCAGGGAAGGTCTTAGAAAAGATTATCAAAGAGACCAGTCTCAACAGACTGGCCCATGGCAATATCCTGAGGGATATCCAGCATGGTTAGTTGTGGGTAGGTCCTGCTTGACCAATCGTATTTCCTTTTACAACCAGGTGATCTATTACCTGGACAAAGGAGAAGAGATTGAAGTCGTCTATCTTGACTTTAAAAAAGCCTTCAATCTGGTATCCCATGATCATCTCTTAGCAAAACTGGCTAACTGCAGCCTCAGCCTCACCACGATCCACTGGCTGGGGAATTGGCTCCGTGGTCGGACCCAGAGGGTAGTGGGTGATGGAAATCAATCGTCATGGTGCGCTGTGACCAGTGCGGTCCCCCAAGGCTCTGTTCTTGGACCTATACTACTCAACATCTTCATTAATGGTGTGGAAACTGGAGTCAGAAGAGGACTGGCCAAGTTTGCCAAAGACACCAAACTCTGGGGTAAAGCGTCCACACCTGAGGACTGGAGGGTGAGCCAGGCAGACCTTGACATGCTCAGGAAATGGGTGGACAAGAACCTGATGGTGTTTAACACTGAAAAAAGCAAGGTTCTCCACCTTGGGAAGAAAAACCTGCAGCATGCTTATAGGCTCGGCAGTGCTACACTGGCTAGCACTACAGATGAAAGGGACTTGAGGGTCATGATTGACCACGAGATAAACATAAGCCTTCAGTGTGATGCTGCAGCTAGTAAAGCGAGCATCCATAGATGCTTCTCAAGAAAACCCCAGGACGTCATCCTCCTGCTGTACTTGGCCTTGGTGAGGCCGCAGCTGGAGTACTGCATCCAGTTTTGGGCTCCACAATTCAAAAAGTATGTGGAGAAGCTTGAGAGGGTGCAGAGGAGAGCTACACACATGATCAGAGGCCAGGAAAACAGACCTTATGAAGAGAGGCTGAGAGCCATGGGACTCTTCAGCCTGGAAAAGCACAGGCTCAGGGGTGATCTGGTGGCCACCTATAAGTTTATCGGGGGGCTCACCAGGATCTGGGCAAACATCTGTTCACCAGAGCGCCCCAAGGTATGATTAAGGTTGAACGGTCACAAACTCCTCCATGACCGTTTCAGGCTGGATAGAAGGAAAAACTTCTTTACTGTCTGAGCCCCCAAGTTTTGGAATAGACTGCCACTGGAGGCGGTTCAAGCACCTACTTTGAACACCTTCAAGAGACATTTGGATGTTTGTCTTGCTGGGATCCTATGATCCCTGCTGACTTCTTGCCCCTGGGGCAGGGGGCTGGACTCGATGATCTTCCGAGGTCCCTTCCAGCCCTAATGTCTATGAAAGTTTATGAAATCCTCTCAGCCATCTGCGCACTCCTGCCCCACTAAAACCCCAACACCCAGCACGTTTACATGTTACTTCCCCAAAGTGTATAGGTTTAACCATCACTTATAGCTATCCAAAGTGAGAAGGAACAGTTTGCAAGGTATTGCTTATCCATACCATCAGTAACAATGAAGATAAAACCAGTTCCTTAATATGAGAGTATAGAGAGCAGTAATGAGACGCCCTTGGGAGAGAGGGGGGGAAAAAAAAATTCAGGCAAGAGTTCATTTAGGTATAGGCAACTTCTTTACAGGGCATGTGGCAGGTCAGGGAGGGGATAAGCAGCACAATGGTAGGTAGAGCAGAAAGCAGAGCAGGGAAAGGGATCAGAGTGGCACTTGAGGAGGATATGAGGCTAACCTGTGGCCCCCACTAGCCAAGCCTTTAGACAGGATAGACAAGCACATATATATTGGACATTCAGCCTCATAAGGCTGGGTTCAGCTGCAGCTCTGCCTGAGCAAGTTAAGTCTGTACAAAGGTTGCCTCTACCCAAGACTTGCTGAGTTTCTGGATGAGGGAGGGGAGGCCTTAGGCAGAAAGATTTGTAAAGTAAACTTCCTTCTGTGCAGCTCAAGTGGTAAGACCAGAAGTTCTAGTTGTTGCCTTTAGTGTCAGCTCGCCAAACCATGGCTGGAGGATACTTTTGGAGACAGGGGAGTCGTACAGGGCATTTTAGCTAGATCTGGTCATACCCACATCGTGCAAAGCAAGCAGTGAAGATGTTTGTTTCTGTTTTGATGCGTGTTCAGGCTGAGAACTTAAAATAGGTAGAAGACTAAACTTTGAACTGGGCTGAACTTTGAAGGCTGAACTGGGAAAATGTGGTGACGCTACCAAAATATCACAGGGTTATGCCAAAATAACTCCTCCTCACAATCTGTTTTGGGAGTAGAAGGGACTTTGCCCTAAAATAGTGGCTTTCAGTCTGTGGTCCACAGATTATGTCAAAGGGGTCTGCGATAGAGGATGTGATCTAGTCAAAATTATGTGAATACCCACATCTCCATTTGAAATTCCTGAAGGGGTCTGCAAATGGGAAAAAAAAAAAAAAAAAAAAAAGGTTGAAAACCACTGCTTTAGAGGCATCTACATAGAAGAACTAGTCCTCTCATTTGATCTTCCAGTAGCTGCTCCCCCATTTTTAGATGTTCACATGACTAAACCAGATCACTCGCCTGCTGTTTCCACCTCCCTACTCCTCACTGCCCCCTGAATACTAGAAGGCCAGTGGCAAGGACTCTGCAGTATCTTATTTGATCAACTGGATAGGTGGAACAGCTGTTCTGAAATGGCCACAGAAAGAGCACCCATTTCCTATTCACCTCTTAGATTTAGGAGCACCCTTGCTACTGACTGTTAAACAGCAGCAAGTGGGTAGCACTCTCATCCCCATTTCCCCATGTCTTGCTAAAGCACCGAAGACAAATGAATAAGGTCAGACTGTCTGGTAACGGTCTAAAAGCATCCTATTTAGACCAAGCCATACAGGAAGCAGGTTCCAGAGCTAAAGATCTTTATCAGATAATCCCTTACTTCTAGTTCCTACCTGCTGGAGTCTCAGGCACCTTCCCAGCCCATTTCAGCTGCCCTAATGGCCTGTAGGGCTTCCATTGAGTCAGACAAGGTGAGACTACTTGGCTCTGCAGAGGAGAGTTGCTTTAGATTTAGAAGGTGGACCTTTCCCAAAAAGTTTCACATCACACCGACACACAACCCAGGTCTGAAACAAAGTTTCATCATCTACCCAGATTGTGGCAGGTAAGCATAAAGCTTTAAAATTATTCCATCTAGCAACAAGAGGAGTTCAGACTTCTTTAAAGACAATGGCACTTGGCTTTGTTGTGGGGAGGGCAGCAGTTGATGCTCTTGATAGGGCATTGCCATGGACCCTGCTGCAGCACCAGCATTTCACAAACAGTGGGCTGAACTGTTTCAGGTGTAGAGCAAGGAGAGCCAACTTGCAGCACAAGGGCCACAAGCAGCCTTGTACGGCACATGGCAGATCAGGGAGGCAACAGGCAGTGCAGCAGCAGATAGAGCAAGAAGCATAAAGCAGAGCAAGGGATCAGATAGGGAGCACAGGGCAGGAAGCAGAGAAGCCAATCAGGCAGAGGAAGGGGGTTTGAGTAGTACTCGGGGAGGCTGTGGGGCTAATTTGGGGCATGCCTGCTAACAAAAGGTTGGCCCCAGGGATGTAGAAGGACAGCTAGTACAAGAAAAAGTTTTTCCCTTTGGACAGTGGTGGGGGAGGGGAGGAGAAACCAGGCATCACCAACTCTGCTCTTGAAATGGGCTGTTTTAAGAGGAGGATACTACCAACAAAACAAAAAGAAAAAGACACAGCCAGTCCACATTACTTACTAAATCAGTTTATTTGCTATTAGCCAAGTCAGTCATTTACATAATCAGTTTGTTTTGCTCATCTGGAATGGTATGTGCACTCCTTCCAGCAGCATGGAGAAAGGCACAGTTTTTAATCTCTCTTGCCAGTCTCATGATTTCACACCCAGCATTAGTGGAAGCAAATACATGCCTTCATAGTACCATGAAGTGCTCTGCACAGCTCAGCACTGCTTTGACCTTTTTAAGATACCCTCCCCCCTCCAAAAATCAACATAAAAAAAAAAACCAAAAACACAAAAACAGTGTTTCTCCTGTGGAGATAACTTAATTTTTTTTTTTTTTTTTTAAAAGTTCAGAGTTCAGTTCAAAAGGCTTCTCATTTTAAAAACTGTGTGCATCTCAAGAGACCAAAGTGCCATAAAAATGTGAAGTTATAGCAAAGTGTTTCAAGGAAGCCCACAGCAATGCTTCCATCCCAAGCACTGTGCAGTATTCTAATCAGGTTACATTTTCAAGACTTCCCACACTTGGGATTTTAACATCTACTCTCTGCAAGGCAGACAGGCTTCACTTTGGTGAAAGAAGTTTAAACCATCGGAACTGTTTACAGCTATTTTTAGTCTGGATTATCATACGTTCCTCTTCAACTGCAAGTGCACTTGAGCCCATGGTCCAGAGGAACACTGGAATGCAAATGCTCCGTGAGCCCAGAGGGCTCTAGTGCCCCACCTGCATTCTGCTGTCAGGGATGGCAGTCATTTGCCATGTTCTAGTGTTTTATAAAAAAAGTAAAACAACAATCAAATAACCTCCCCTCCCTCCCCCCAACCTTTACGACTGCTTGTTAATCCACCCTTTCCACATTCCTGTGACATGTTTAAAATACAGATTAAATGTGCATTGCATAACCTGGCTCAGGTCGTCAAGCACAGAGTTACACTCATTCCATACCCCAGTGCGCAGGGCACAAATGTAGCGCAGCCAGAAGAACCTGCTACTTCTTTTACGATATGCAAGCTTGTTGGATTGTACCACATGGAAGCCTGCTGGTTGTCTTACCATGCTACACTGTCCTTTCTGTACCACTTCCTCATTCAACCTATTTGGTTATTAGAATATTCCATTATAGATTACATATTACTGAAAACAATATTTTAGCTGAAGCAATGTGTCAAATCAAACTATGCTTCGTACTGAAGCAGAATTCATTTGTTCAGACTTAAGCAGTAATCAATTCAATATTGCCAAGGCTTTACATTTTTCTTTACTAACATGCGTCTAATATAGGCTCACAGTACCCTATAGGCTGCTTTCAGTCTTGAATTACAAAGAAATGCACAGAGCAGAGGTAGGAGATCAAGGAATTCATCTACACAAGACGAATTCTGGAAGTAGAAGGAACATCTGTTAAAGGAAAAAAAGTGCAAGTATGATCTTAATTCCACCCCCATGTCTTCAATACTAGAGGAGTGTGTTGAAACAATACTAACACTACACAGTTAAGACTGTCCAGCTCTGTCACTTGGAAAAAAAAATGTACCCAAGGCTTCAGTTTGAGCAAGAAGTCCAAATCAATCAATCTAGCCTTTGAAAAAGAATTGACACCATCTCATGTTTCAGATAAAAAAGGAACATGAAGATAAACAGCTCTGCTCACAGATGTGAAGTATTTATCAAGCAAAGGACTGGACAGATAACTGCTCCTTGCAATCTTGCTTATTCAAGATCAAAGCAAATATACTGCTGCCTTGTTTTAGATTGAATTAACAAGCCAAGTTGGGCAAGAGAGAGAACAGTGGTGGAAATAATACTGCCTACGTACCTATTAACAGTCAAAGAGAAAGTTATTGCCACGAGTCTTGCACAGAACAGAAGCAGCAAAAATTAAATGCACTTCAGATACAAAATGCTGCACGCTACGGGCAGCAGTGGAATGTCTGAGGTAAAACAAGTGGGGTGCCATCCGGCTCTGCTGGTTTCAATAGCTCATTGGAATTTCAGCTGGCTTCATCCAGAGGTTGGGACAAGACTTTGTGGAGCACATGTTCAGTCTTTTTGGTGCCTGAAATGTATCCTGTGTTCCACCTCTGTGCTGTACAGATCTGTGTGTCCAAGGAAGAGGATATTTCAGTGCTGCTTGGTAGCTTTAGGGTGATCCATTAATTGTTTTCAAATTTGGCATATGGGTTCTCTTCCTTAAACAAGCCTAGAGGAGGAAAAAAAACTCTAGTCAGGAGGAGTATGTAGGTCAGTCCCAGTCTGCACTCTATGAATCTGTGCCTTTCCTCATTTAAGGTGAGCGAGCCATCTCCACCCCTCCTCCCTTTCTGGATTAAGATTAGGAGCAGGTGACAAACCACAAGGCTAATTTCCCCCCCCCCCCCTTTAAAGCAGGTAATACTGACTACCAAGCCATTTAGGATGCCAATGGTAACAAAGAAGGTCATTTAAAAACAGGACAAGCACAAGTCATTTGCCAAATCCTACCAACTTCCACATTAAAAAAGAGGCATTACCCAGAGTGAATTAAGCACACCCACCATTTTGTCCTTAAACACTATCAGTCTGTGGCCCCCTATTAGTACCTATTTTGGACTGGTGCTATTATGAGCAGCAGCAGTCCAGCAGCTGTTGGCAGTTTGGCAACTAGTTTATCCACTCTCTCTGCTCAGAGCTGCCCTGGCAAATCCCCCACCCTTCCTGGGAGGTACCTCATGCTCTGCTGAGGATAGCAAGGCTTCTGCCACCCAGCAGCTGGCAATGGGCCTGCAGGATTAATTGGGCACCAGACCTGGCAGCCAATCTCCTGATTGCCAAACTGGTTCATCATGAATGGCATGCAGCACACGCAGAACATTCAGGCAATTGCTATGTTCCCCTATGGACCACACCCCACAATATCTCAGTTGCAGGGGATGTGGAAGATAAATGCTTTGGCTTTCCTCACACACTACTAAGGCACATAGTGTACATAGAAAGGCAGAAAGATTTAACATAGCTCTCAGATTTAAAGAAATGCACTTGAAAGTCACTTGCAACTCTTTACCGTATTTTTTCCGGATTTCATCATGTCGAGATTTCATCTCTGCTCTCCTGTGGGAAGAGAGCAGACCAAGAGGTTTTTATGGGGGTGGGGAAAAAGAGGAAAAGCAAATAAAAGTTCTGCCTTCTTCCTAGTCTCCCTTCAGAGAAGCAAAGTCTTCTCTTAAGACTCCATCTGCATGTAGACTTGTCTTGCCTCCAGAATAACTGAAAATGAAAAGAATCAAATGCCACCAGTCCAACACACAAGCAATCCTACAGAAGAAAGCAAGCTTTGGTATAGATGCAACAGATGATTAAAAGGTAACAGTATCAAAATTCCAAACAGGCTGATATTTTAGCTCGGTTGACAATTACTCAAGAGCCCAGTCCAGCTCCATCTTCTTGATTAAGATGCTTAAATCACCATTGGATCATAGCATCTCTTAACACAATATTAATAGTCATAAAACTATCCAAACTGGATTTGTGAACACGATACAAGTGAGACAAGTTCAACTACAGGCAGACACTGCTGCATGCAAGTGCAAGGTCATGTGCACCCCTGGCACTGGACATTTGAAAGCCATTTGAAGAAGCTCTCTCCAGTGCCAAGGTATCCCCTACACTGTAACTCCAAACAGTCTCGTCTGCATTCCCATCAGAATGCAAAATATTCAGTAACTAAGTTGTGTGTGCACCTATCCAGATCCACATGCACTAGTGGCTGATAGCATCTCCACTACCTGAACAAAGTGACTGGTAGACAGACAGTAACTATTTTATAGTTCGAGCAAAATGGAGCACCTCATTTCTCCTGTACAGAGACAAAAGAGATGATCAAGTCCTCACATTGGCTACTCACCTCTCTTCTTGCTGTACTCTCCTCTTCTCGCGCTCTCTGGCAGCTCTTTCATCATCCTTGTCTGGCCTGAAAGAAATAGGACATTGTTAGCCATTAACTGCATCTAGCACCTGCCATGATTTTGGCAGCAGCTTCAGGTTACCTTGAGCTGTACTTTTGCAAAGTGGCAGGAGGGACTAATCTGTCAGGATACTTGCTTTTTGCTTTTTTTCTTGCAACAGCAGCAACAGCAAACGACCAGAGCAAGAAGAATCGCTCCTCCCACCACAGACACTGCAATAATCAAGGCTTCAAAGTTCACTGAAAGAAAGAGAAATATTACCAACTATTGTTTATTGTAGCTCATTAATTCACTCCGCACTGAAAAATATACATCTCACAAAACTGGTGTTGCTGTAGCCTAGCTTTGCAACAACACACATTTTCCCTTGGCTGTAAACCCCAATATCAAGTGCTGTTTTTAAGTATATTTATTTAAGAAATGATTAGGAGACTAGAACAAATGCCAACTTTCATAAGCCATTTGCCTTTGTAAGTGGTGAACTCACCAGTGAATAAGGAACTTTGTCTGGCAGTCTGATGACTGTGGGGAAGTGGCATTCTATCAACAAGCCACTAGACATACAGGAGTCAAATGTCCATTTTTCACACAATGGGGTAGGTAAGTTCCCAGCTCTTGAATTGGATCAGTAGAGACTTTCTCCATAGCCAACTTGAAGGCAAGTTTCTTCATACACATTCCCAGTCTTACTCCCCTCCCCATCCCCATGTAAGATTTTTTTTTACTCATTAAGGAAAGGAATCAATTGAAGTCTGTCCCCAGTTAAGAGTTCAGCTTTCAGGCTCCCAAGCATTTGCACACAGCCACTACCAGACAAGGTTATTTGGGGTTCTTTATCTGGATTTCCCTTGGTCCTCTCCCAACTGCAGTGGAAGTGGGCACTCTTCTCTCCATTCCACCCATCTACACCCTTTTCCTGTGAATAAAGCAGGGGTGTCAAACTCTTCTGGTCCCATGTCCCAGGGCTATGGGTGGCATGTGGATCAACTGAGACCCAGGGGTAGCAGTGAAGACCAGATAAGGCTCTGTAAACTGGGTTTAGCTTAGGGACTACATCTTTGATACCACTGATATGAAGGGTTACAGATCCCTCACTTTTATCTTCTCCACATCATTAAATAGCAACAACAGCATGTCTGGAGTGTGGAAAACACAGCTCTGCTTGCCACTCCGTCATTTGATGCTAACCCTGCAATTTCATAGATTCATAGATGTAGGGTTGGAAGGGACCTTGCAGATCTTCTAGTCCGACACCTTGCCCTGGGCAGGAGAGAAAACTGGGCTCAAATGACCCCAGCTAGGTAATCGTCAAGCCTCCTCTTAAAGACCCCTGGGGTAGGAGCCAGCACTACTTCCTTTGGAAGTTGGTTCCAGATCCTAGCCGCCCCGACTGAAGTAGTGCCTTCTAATGTCTAGTCTGAACCTACTCTCAAAAGAATAACGGCCATAAGTTGTTAGTTACTCTGCGAGGTGCTCAGGGGAACAATGTCTCTCCCATTCCCCGCTGGTTCCCCCTAGTAAGTTTATAGATGGCCACCAGGTCCCCTCTCAGCCTTCTCTTGTGAAGGCTGAACAGGTTAAGGTCCTGTAGCCTCTCCTCATAGCATCTGCCCTGCTGTCCCCAGATCATGCGAGTGGCCCTTTTGGGCCCTCTCAATGTTGTCCACATCCCTCCTGAAGTGAGGCGCCCAGAACTGGACACAGTACTCCAACTGTGGCCTGACCAGTATTGCATAGAAGGGGAGGATCACCTCCTTGGCCCTGCTTGTGATGCATCCGTGGATGCACGACAAGGTGCAGTTAGCCCTACTGACCATGTCCTTGCATTGGCGGCCCATGTTCATCTTGGAATCGATAATGACTCGAAGATCTCTTTCTGCCACTGTGCTTTCGAGAAGGGAGTTCCCCAGCCTGTAGGTATGCTGTTGGTTCTTCCTGCCCAAGTGCAGCACCCTGCACTTGTCAGTATTGAATCCCATCCTGGTCTCATTTGCCCACCCCCGTAACCTGTTCAGGTCCAGCTGTATCCTGTCCCTCCCTTCTAGTGTGCCCCCCTCACCCCAAATCTTGGCACACCCACCTCACTTCCACAGAACGCATTTATTGATCCTTAAATTAGTGGATGTAATACTCAATTTAAGGCTCAAGAACCTCACTCTCCAACTCCCTAAGCTTTCTGGTGGAAAAAGCAACCTTTAAAAATCTGCTATGTTTGGGCTGTTTGCACAATACAAAAGGTAACAGCCATTTGCCTTACTCAAGGAAGTAATACTCATAGTCCTAAGGCCAGAAGGGGCCTCCTGTATAGCACAGACTGAAGGCTTTCCACATTATACTCCCTGCATCTTGCTTATTTCTGGTTTAACTAGGCTATCTTTTACTGAGACTGGATATCTTCCTGTAGGATGAGCTTGGCTCTTTATTGAAGGGTTCCCTTCCACAGTTACAGTCCATAAAGAGGAGAAAGAGTAGTCCCTAGAGCTTGTACCAATCCCAAATGCCTGCAATGGTCCTGCAGACTTTCCAGTTGCTAAGTCACATTTGGGTTCAATGGTAATATTCAGCATTTCACATTCTAAGCAGGCAACAAGCCACAAGTCACTTCCAGTCAACAGGAAGGGAGGTGGTTCAGAAGATTCTTCCACACTTGGAGGAGTTTGAAGAATCCCAATCTAGGATCATTTAAGACAGAGGGCCACTATTTTAGACATTGGGAAGAGTCTCTCCCTTTACAGGTAGGGTAACAAGCAACAGGGGCCATGCTGAGCTGACAGGGTATCATCAGGTTTACCTGCAGTATGTTTCACATGTTACTTAAGTAAAACCCACTTACCCCAGCAGACTCCCCATCGGGCAGAACGCAGCTCACAGAGACTGCTGGGAGGGAGGATGCTTCTGACAGGATACTCCACACATTTCTTGCTGCTGGTGCACCAGAGACACTGCAAGTAGTAAGATGGAAGCATGTATATAACTGGGACTGGAGAGGAAAAAAAGTAGACAACTGCAATAATACACCTATTCATTACCCATCTCAGATGTCCAATTCCACTTGAGTTTTACTTTAACAGGCTGGACAGGGCAGATCCCGTCTCCGGTAGGGGGCTTGGACTAGGTGACTGCTGGAGGTCTGTTCCAGCCCAGCTTTCCTATGACTAAAATCTGAATTAACTCAGGTGCAGATAAGTCCTCCAACTGCACTTAACTAAACCGGCAAGGGGCCTCTAAAAACTGCTGCTATTTTCATCAGCTTTATATTCCAACTATTGTATGGGATGCTGCCATGTATAGACAAGCTCTGGTATGCTAACAGTGTTGAGAACATAGAGTAGGCTTGCAGTGCATGAGGAAAGCTCTAGAACAGTTGAAAGAGATTTGCAAATAATAAAATACAAGCACCTTGGCCTCTGCCAGTGTTCAAGGAAATTCTGCCTTTGATAAGAAAGGGTGGCTCATCTAAGGTGAATGTATCAGCAAGCAAAGGAATGCAAAAACAAATGTTAAAAAAAGCCTCCGTGAACATACCTACTATATATGAAGACTACTGAATAACTTGAGGAAGAGAAACAACTTTGTAAACCAATGCAATCATCATGACTTGAGTTAGTTAGAGCCATCAACTGTAGCTGTGTCTGTCTGTGTCCCCGCCTCCACATAAGAAAAACTTGAAAACAGAATGTTTTCGTACCAGATAAGATAAGGACATTAACAAGCATTTTCCCACGAGTCTGGAGGCAAGTCATTCTAGTCAACATTTGATAGTACTAGGCTTTATGGATTACAACGCTTCATCTCAGAAGCAAATCGTTCAATTACTAGCGAAAGATGTAGTCAAAACAGAGAAGCTCACTACTGACCCACTGAGAAGGTAGTGTCTGCACATGCAGTACCCTTCCAAATTCCCTAGTGCTAGTTTGATATGGGTAGAGATGCCTCAGATGTTCCCGACACTGTCCTGAAACAGAAGCGGGCTGGGATGTCACTGCCAGTGTGGAAACATAACTAAGATACCCAAGTTAGCATTTTAAAAGTCTCCTTTTAAAAAGGTAAAGTCCCAGGATTACATACTGCCCCTTACAAGGCAAGTTACAGGGCAAATATAACATGATCTCCAAAGAAAGAAAACATTCTCCCTTGCTAGCTTTTTACTAAGCAGACAGAGCCCACAGCAATGCATGCAAGAAGCTCGAGATTTATTCACTCCTTTATCCTTGGCATTATAGGATTTGTCAGTCGTAGCATGGTTAATGTGCATATCACCAGACTAGCTAGGTTAGTACAACACTCCTCCTCTCAAATTTACAAGCTCTTTGGGAAAAAGAAGGTAGCCATTTGTTTGAAGTGCACAGTATAGGGAGATGAAGCCAGCCAGCACTGCTGTACCACCCATGATATTTGGCCTAAACCAGCACAATGATATTACCTTAGAAAAGCCAAGATGACTTGGCCTGAACTGCAAGGGGGTAGAGAGGGGAAAATGGGTAAAGGGGGGGGATTATACTGGTAATAGGAACCCTTGTGAAAAGCTGAGCATGGGAGCAGACGTTTTCACACCTCTCCAGACTGAGATATGGGTGCAGATGCTGCTCTGACACCCAACTTAAAAAACCAAACACTACCAGGAGGTGCCATCTTGGGGTGCCACTTCTTTTCAAGTGAGACTAGGCCTAGCAGCCACACAACTTTAGACCTGGTTTGGTTAAAGCCATCACGTTTATAGACCCTACAAGTCATATGTCCAATAAGCATATTGAGCCCTGATCCTGGAAGTCAACATGTTCCCTCAAACTTAGGCACCCAAGTACTTCCATCCCCCTCCACTCAAACCTGCATTTATTTAGATTGGCCGTCACAAACAGATAGCAGTCAATTATGCTTTGCCCATCTACTAGGCACTACACATCCAGTTCATAAGCTATAGGAGTCCCCTCAGAGCAGTTCCCTACTATACAGCTGTCTCACAGCAAGACAGCCTCAAACCCATGACAGCCAGCTATCACATGTTTAGTCTTAAGATCCCCAAAACAACAGGCAATAGTTAGCCTGGAGCGCTCACAAGGTTACCATCCTATTTGATAAATGCTTGTGGAATATGCTTTTTGAGATCAAGCAGCACAGGGATACTATTAGTTGGCTTAGAATGTTACCCCAGTAAGTTTAATTACTTACTCTTTGCATACTTTAGAATAGTTTAAAAACCACCACACCAAATTATGAATTGTGTCAGAGTTGGATTGTGGCAGCAACAGGATCTCAGACATTTAGCTGTGTTATAAGTCTTCAAAGGAGGTGGTCAGCAGGATTAGTCTGAAGTCAACCTGAGAAGTAAGGCAGGGCGGCACCTTATAGATTAACTGTTTCAGGGAAGCACGAGCACCATTAGGCAGCCTACTGTGGTCTACTATAAACGTGCATAAGGGAACTCATTCTATGCCACGTGCAAATGATCTTTCCATGTCAGATCATCCAATTTTTACTCTTAACAGTGCACCCCACCCCCTCTTCAGGCCTATTCCCCCTCATAAGGTTACTGGCTCCTGATCTGGCTTAGTCAGAGATAGGTTATTAGCACTGGAGGCCAGGTACAAGGAACTGAAGTGGTATTTCCGCTATATAAACGGTGAGACTGAAAGTGTCCTTCCAAAACTGCACTCCCCTGGCTTTGTAAAGGAAGAGCAGATTAGTACAGCATTATTTACCACATCCCATTAGGTCCACCAGCCATTCTGTAGTCCCCGTTAGTCTCCCCATTCCAGCTAGGGGCCTAAAATAGTTTGTCCTTGGAGAAGGAGTTGCAGAACCCTAGAAGCAATCCAATTCCTTTTGAGAAAAGGAAAGAAATCCAACCAGACTGCCCAACCCAGCACAACAGCATAGGACTGCAGCCTGAGGAATGCATGACTAGGTCAGTATACATGCAACAGGGGTATTAACCCTTCCTGACCCACAGGTAAAGAAGTAGTCTCTTTCCACCATTCCTGTCACACCCTTGCCTACTGCAGGGTAGTCATGTCCTTGTTAGAATTCCCTCCCCTAGTTCCATCCAGGAAGAGCACACACCAACTGCTGAAACTTCCTTAGCCTGATGAAGGGTTTTTGAACCCGAAAGCTTGCTTAATAACTATTCTCCAACTATTTGGGTTGGTCTAATAAAAGATATCAAATTCACCCAAGGAACCTTGTCTGCCTATGTCCTTAAGACCAACATGGCCTCAACCTAAACCCCTCCCCTAGTTTTGCACTTAGTTACCTAAATGAGAACGCTGATACTGCAGAAAGACAGACCGTGGAAGACATGCTACAGATATTTTACACTAGTATTCTAAAGAAAAAAAAAAGCACATTTATAGAGAGCAATGGAAGACCTCCCAGGCTGCAACAAAACACTGTTACTACAGCAACAAGTCTCTGATGACTTGCTGGATTCGTGACTCAAGAATCAGCACCACACAAACCCAGCCAAGAGGACAGGAACTACTCAATAGCATACCGCCATTTCAACAGGACTCCTGATCTCATACAGATTTAGCTTACCACTCCATTTCCTTCTGATGACAAATGACTGCAATTCTAAAACTCATTACTTTGGAGGACAGAAGTCTAGATCTTCTCACTCCTTTACTAAACATTTGTGGAAGAGGTTGTCAGTTTGTTGCAAAGCTAATGAAAAGAGGTTAAATAATGGGGCGGGGAACAAGAACAAAAAGGACAAAGCTTTAAAGCGGGAAAGCTTTGAATTCAGTTCCTGGACAGGCATCTCAACAGCAATTAAGCATATTTGTAAATGCATGAGGTTTGTCTAGCCCCAGATGTCATAGCTTGGGTGACAAGAGAAGTTGTCAGCAGCATTGCAGAAGCAGATGGACAGTACTGGAATACTGAATTCCCCCGTGTTCTACACGTACCTTCCAAATGAAGGCCTCAACTTTGAGCATCCCACACTCCTTCCACATGTTCCAAACCAGGGACCATTTTCAAGGTACACAATTAGTTTTAGTCCTTCCACAACCTTGTAAGGTATTACTTCAGCAAGACTCCCCTTTATGCCAAGGAGGGAGATAGAGTTCCTCCCACACTTTTGCATATCCTTAAAGCCAACACCGAGTTCCAAAAATATTGCGATAACATCCTCCCTTCTTCTCCTCTCCCTCAAATTAAAATTCCACTGGGGGTTTAGATGCTTAACACTTCTTTCCAGAAAATCCCCAGACTGGATTACTAGAGCTGGCCACAATGGTCAGCCACCTTGGGAAGCTAGAATTTAGCCAACACCCAAAAAAGCATCCATACAGATTGCAATTTTCCCCCTGCAAAGGCTGGAGGAGGAGGGAAGTAGCTAGTCAGCCAAGTACAGCATAAGGCAGAAGTGATCCAAGCTAGGTGGGGAATGCTTTCCAGTGGTTTGGATTAATAGCTGTAGCATTCATTGCCCCTTGCAGCTCCCTTTGAAATCAGTTATTAGAACTGCTGACTACCTCATCCACAAAGACGAATCCTTTAGAACCTGGCAGATACTCTGGTCTTTGGCAGTTTTCCCCTCATCACACAACGCATCCAGCTCCCTTTAAAAACCAAGGAGAAGTAAAGCAATTGTGATTTTGCTTATGCACTACTTACGGTGACATTTTTCAGGCACTCTTCGCAACTCGTATTGGTGTACCGGGGACAAGCTGAGGAGGGGGAAAAAAAAGTGTCATGTCAGTATCTGCATTTTAAAGAAAGAAGGGCTTTTCAATAAATTGCTTTTTTCATAAGAAAACTCTTAGCTTTTCATAAGAAGGGTAGGAGACTTCTAGAAGGCAGCAATTCTAATCTACCAGTCATAAGACAGTTTGAGTGAAACCTGTGAGAGCTGTCAGAACATCTGCCAGACTGAATGCATACAAGAGACCACTTTCATCTCAAAATGCCACGGCATCCTCTAAATCAAGGAGCACACCCTTTCCTCTTTTCCACAGTTAGTGTTTGATAACCCAAACATTTATGGTTTTACATAACAGGAAAGGCCTCAAGACATTTAATCCATACAAGCCCCTTTCCCTCCTCCCTCAAATCAAAACTACTTGTGAAAACAGCACTTGATGAGTTCACATGTGGGATTATAAAGCCTGGTTGATTGTAATAGCAGGAATCCAGAACAGACCTCTTGGGTCAGAGTCCAGTCCTGTGTGCTTTTAGCTCAGGAGCTGCTGTACTTAACAGCATTTTTTCCACAGTCACAACAATGTCTGGTAGGTTTTACTGGAGAACTCTGTAGTATGCCCCAGCTAGGAGGATACCTAGTTCTTCAATAAAACTTTGTCAAGTGTTTGCCTGACCAGTACCCATGTTAAGCACAGCAACTCTTTGCTTCAGCACTAGTGCAAACAAGGGTCATTTAAAAATCAGGGCTGGGGACCTCATACCACAGTTATTTTGCCACTCAACTGTGCACATCTGGGCAGAATACTCCTGGTGACACACTTACAAGGGGGGGGGGGAATAAACAAAAAATTACAGCATATAGGGTTCTAGAGGGCTCCTCTATGCAGGCTCAGAAGCTGGACAGGTTAGCATGCAGCTTTAACATGCATGCTATCACAGGTTTCATCTACTGTTTTCCATTGTAATAAATTTAGTACTTGATTGTAGTTTAAACTAGTCACCCTATATCCAAAACATGGACTTCGTCACAATCCAAAGTTTGAGGGGCTGCTTTTGCTCACCCTTTTGCTAGTGATGTTCTATTAAACATAGAAATAATTTAACTGGGCAGAGCTGTGCTTGAAGCAGATGATCTGCCATCAGAATAGGCTGCACAAAAAACACTGGCTGTAGTTGCACTTCCTTCAGATAGTACAAGCACCCAAGACCTGTCCAACTACAAGTTATGGACATCCAACAACCCACTGGAAGCCTCCCCTCTTAGAGACTTCTTATAGAAATGCAATCCATTTCACCGTGTTACCAGGGCATAACGCAGGGTTTTCTCTCTCTACGGAATGGATAGAAAGGTATGGCTTAGAGATGAGGGGAGGAGAACCCCACATAACAGAAGACAGACACTAGTACCATAAAGACGAGCCTAGAGATTCTAGCAAGAGCCTGTGGGTCTGGGAGTAAAGGTGTGCAGGGAGCTGCAGCAGCCCACTTGTCTTTCCCTGTGAATGCCCCAACCAAATCACCAACCCTGGGATGACTGCCCATCAGAAGCTACCAGGGAAAGCATGCCAACACCTCTGCCGCCTTGTTAAGAGGCAGAATTTATTAGGGGGAAGGGAAAGTCTTATACACTGAAAAATATGGCAATAGAAAAATCTACAGTAATCAAAGTGAAAGAATCAGCTATCCGGGCAGAACTAATAGACAATAACCAATAACTTGATTTTGTTTGTTGTTGTTTTTTTTAAACCACCACATTAGGTCATTTCTGATCCAAAGAACAGTGTATTTTGTCAGCACACGACTTCCATGGTTTTATGTAGTTTGAACTAGACAGTTTTAGCTTTGGTTATGGTTGAATAAAAACAATATGCAAACCACACACATACACAGTCTTTTAGAAGCTTAAAGATCAGTGTATACAAGTTATTTAAGACTATGAGAATTCTTCAAAGATGGGGTGTGCATGTTCAATACAACGCAAATATGTAAGCCATAGCCAAATGCTTCCCTTGTGTCTTAAATAAGAAGATGCAGTAACAGGTCTAGAGTAGTGAAGAGACCAAATATAAATATTACAAGTTAAAATGTGATTATTTGTAATATCCAGAACTGAAATTTAAAGGGGAGGGGGGAAAAAAACTATTCTTGATGTTAAAGAGCCATGTTTACACATTTCAGTGCAAGCACCTGTCACAACCCAATTAAACTGTGCCCATGCCACTGAGCAAGAGCTACCATTCAAATCATCCTCATTTTGACGATTAAGGGTTAAAAGACATCCCTGCCAAAAATTCCTTGAAACAAAATGCGGCCGGAGTACTGTAGATAATTGGTCAGCTGAAATAAAATGCTAGGGGAAACTATATATAATTGGTCCAAAAATAAGCGTAAGCTCCTCACACGTAGCACACACGTAACAGGTAGAGAAACCTAACCCACTACCTTGTAACTTGAGGAGACAAAGAGCTGCCACCTGCCAAAAATTAAAGATTCCATATAACGGTTCACCATTGGATATTCCTGTAAAACACCTCTGCCTATAAATAGTTTAACGGTTTCCGCCCAAGGCAGAAAGCTCTGGGGATCTCACAAGAAACACCTGTGCTTGTCACCAGAGAATTGGGAAATTGATCAATTCCCAATCAATCACCCCGTCAGCGTAAAATATCGACGTAGAAAGTCTTGCAAGCGCGACCGTTCATTCCCGGCGCCACGTCCGTCATTATCTCGTCGTAACCTAACTGCGTGTGTGTACTCGACTCTGTAACCGAAGCTATATGCGTATACTCAACTCTGTAACTGAAGCTGTAACGGAACAAAGGCTCACCTGCATCGTCCATCACTATCTAGGCGACGCAAGTAAACAAACTCCTGTAACCTACACGTGTCTGTGCCTGGTTAATTCCACTCCATCCATCAATTACCCGCCTGCCGAGTTCTAAATCTAAACACTCTGGTGTGCGAGTCAAGCGGCTGCCGGCGGCTGCTCTGATTCACGACAGCACCTACTACACTAAAGTTATCTTCTCTATGCATACATTTCTGAATCCGTTAGATTCAGGTCTGCTAGATCTTCTCCTGCGAATCCAGGCACTAACCGCTTGAGCAAGCGTTATTAACGAGAGTTTATTTAATAAGTCTAGAACTCCCAAAAGGAGAACAAGCGAAGCTTCCTTGAAGCCCCAAAGACTCCGCAGGTGCTTGGGTTAGCTGGCTGCTGTCCACCCTCTCCCAGTGCCACAAAGGGGCCAGATATGCTTCTGTGCCTTAACCATGCATGGCATGTCACCCCGTAACTTCTGCAGCCTCCTTGAAGGCCACAGATTCATTTCCCCAAAGCCCCTAAAGGGAGCTTTCTCCGAGACAGAGCTGGGCTTTATCTCAGCAGAGGCAGTGCCAGTTCACAAGCCCAAAGGACAATTAAGGTCTTCTCAAGCAGCACATCAAAGCACAATACCAACTGCAGCTTGCCCAAGATGCAAGTTAAATACCCTTGGGGCTGAGCTAGTCTACAGCTCCTAGTCCAGGAAGTGCATATGTGATACAAGTCCCTCTTTGTTCACTCCATGAGCACATCACAGCCCATCATGGCTATTATGGCACAGGGCTCACTGCTCTTCAAAGTTGCGTTTAAGAATAAAATGCCTCTGAGACTACCTCCTTCTCCTTCCCAGCCCCCACCTGGCTGGGAGGAGGAAGCCTCAACCCTGTACTCTTGCTCCAGGGAGTTGCACTGACCAGAAATAATGCACCCTTATTCTGAAGAAGTGCCACACCTGGAGTTGTTAGGGCACAGCTTAACAGCTTTTGCATGTAGCCAGCCTGCAAGCATTTAGACAATTAAGAGCTTCCTGCTTTCTAGGGACAGACTGGGGATCAAGTACTTACAACCTCCATTTTGGTGCACAGATCTAATGCTTCTGCTGTGTGGTAGGCACTTGCAGTCCCATTAAGCACCTGGCTAGAAGATCTTGGTCTTCTCCTCAGAGTCCAACCAACCACCAAGTTCAAGATCAAAATAGAAGTTCACTCCTGCCGCAAGCCCAATCAGACTGGCATGGACTTGGGGAGGGGAGTGTGCCTCTCCAACACATGGGTCATAGTCCTCTTCCCAGAGAATTGGCAAAGTATTAGTAAGTTCTTGCCTACTGAAAATACCCTCATCTCCCCTGCTTTTCCTGGGATGTGCAAAAGGGGTGTCTAGCAGACAAGATTCTTTGGGTGAATCTGGTATCTTTTATTAGACCAACTTAAATAGCTGGAAAAAAATTTTTTGGAAGGGGCGTTTGGGATTTCTGGCCTTGTGCCCTGTAGTCATGTGCTGCAAGGTTTTAAAGACACAATTTTCAAGAACCTTTGGGTGGCCTGCTGATGCAGAGGATTGACTCTGCAGTCTAAGAGGCCCCTTCCAGTCCAGTGAGACAATGAACAAAACACCTCCCTGTGTCAACTACTCCCCCAGAGGGAATGCTAATGAGGCCTTTGTTGGAGTAGTTGCCAGCCCACAATACACAAGAGACTTATTTAAATTTGTGGACTCCTCTCTGCAGGGACTTTGCCTCCTTGTTTGTCAAGGCCCACCTTGGGTAAAAAACAGAGGGCCAGGGACAGACCCATGGTTTACTGTAACTCTGAATGCAATGGTAAAAGATGCGAGGCCCTATGATAACCCAGAGTCTGGCAGCCTCCACGATGTCCACTGCTACAGAAGCTCCTCTTCTTGCTTCGGGAAGGGCGGGGGGGGGCGCTCTCCCACTTCAGTAAGCAAGGAAAGGAGGCTGCTACTGCACATGTTCAAGCCAAGAGGTACTGTAAAACTGCAGGGGCTCCATGCTAAGGCACAAAAGTTACCTAGCCCTGGCCACAAACAGATGCCCCAAAAGAAAGGTAAAAGTCCCCTACAGTGAAATGCAGGGAGTCTTTCACCTCAGCATGCATTGGTATATGCATACCTTCCCTAAATTCATAAAGAAATTAAAATTTTGCATCCTGATGCCAATCGCCAACACAGATACCAGAAAAAGGGGAAT